TTTCTAATTTTTGAATTTTAAGCACAAATAGAGGTCTCAATTTAAATGTGTAGGGTGTGCAATGAATTCTGCTGAGATGGCAATGCTAATGATGACTTAGCTTGACATTGTCAAGGAAATTGCTCCCTTACCCCTAGAAGCAAATACATATGTAAAGATGTTTAGTGGAAGCAATCCAGTCAATAGTTCAGATTTTATTAAATATATTTCAATTCAATGTTAAGTATCAGAAATCATGTGTAAAAAACTGGAGTGATAGTACAGCAGCTAGGGCATTTGCCTTGTATGAAGCTGTCCTGAGTTCAATTCCCTGACACCACATATGGTCCCCAAGTCTACCAGGAGCAGTCTCTGAGTGCAGAGGCAGGATTAAGCCCTAAGCACCCATGAGGTGTGGCAGCAAAAAAAGGGAAGAAGGAATTATGTGTATTTCACTACATGGGAAAATATAAAAAAACTATAGCATTTACTTCCTAAGTTGTAAAAAGTTGTGTACTTGCATTGAAGACAAGAATATCAGTAATTTTCTGGTCTGTGAATTAACTCAGTATTTCCAAATCCCCAAAATATAAAACGGAAGGGTTAATGAGACAGTAAGGAGTAGTAGGAACTAGGAAAAATATTCAACCAATTTTTAAACACTATGAAAGCAGAACAAACTAATTTTGTCAGTTTATGGTTCCTTGAAGACTATTTTCTTCCTTAGAGTTATGTCATTTACATATTTTCTACTGCAATTATAAAACATTTTTGTAGGCAGTTATTTAAAAACTTGGGAGATACTCATGAATAGCACAGCGGTAGGGCGTTTGCCTCGCACGCAGCCAACATGGCCGACCCGAGTTCGATTCCTCCGCCCCTCTCGGAGAGCCCGGCAAGCTACCGAGAGTATCTCGCCCGCACGGCAGAGCCTGGCAAGCTCCCCGTGACGTATTCGATATGCCAGACACAGTAACAACAAAGTCTCCAATGGAGACGTTACTGGGCCCGCTCGAGCAAATCGATGATCAACTGGAGGGCCTTTATACTCATGAATAAAATCCACACAAAATACCTTTATATTTTGTTGAATAGCAGAATATTGTCTTTAGTCAGTATAGAGTGGAGCAGATGAATGGGGGTGATTGGCCAATCTGCAGTATTACTAATTAATAAAAATCTGAATTTCACAAAGTATGAAGTAAAGGCAGAAAAGATTGATCTGCCTCCTTGTTTTAAGCAGAAGACGTATGATCGCCTAAAGTGTTTGTGATCGCTGGCAGAAGTCTGGTGAGTGTTAATACGCATATCTTCTGCTGCTGTTGCTTATTATTATTAATTTGGTTTTGGGGCCACACCTGGCGTAGCTCAGGGCTTACCCCATGCTCTGCACTCAGGAATCCCTCCTGGTGGTACTTGGTGGCCATATGGGATGCAGGTGATAGAAACCGAGTTGGCCACATGCCAGGCAAATAACCTACCCGCTGTACTGTCTCTCCAGTCCCTAAGGTGCATATCTTAAGGACAAAGGATGAAACTGTTTCCAGATCCAAAACAAGTGTACTCAAAGAATAAAATCTAAACAAATTGTCATTGAACGGGCAGACGAGGCTACACAGATGGGAAACTCGACAGGTACAGATGGGCTGAGTCAGAGAAGAGACACTGGATAGACAGGGTGGGTCCTGGTTGTCACCAAGGCCAAGAGCAGTCAAGGGAAGGGAGAAGAGTGAAGCAGTTGAGTGAGGGCTGCAGACCAGAGCCCGACTACTCAGGACTGAGCTCGGCTGTACTAGCAAGACGTCACTGTTGAATGAGCTGCCTAGAGTATTACCTCGAATGGCTCCTCCTGAGGTGAGCCTCTGCGTGCTTCCTCTACACTCCGGGTCCCTCGGATGAGGAGCACTTGAGCAATGTTACAGACACAAGTTAGCTAGACTAGTAGAGCTGGCTGACCAGCCTACATCAACGGACTTATAACACAGTGTTAGAACGGGTCCCTTCCCATAACCCAATCTCCCAGCCAGCATATGCTCAGGATCAGTCTGTGGTGCTGGTTACACCCTGTAAGTCAGAATTCTGTCTAATGCTTGCTCTGGAATAGAAACTTACCAGTTTCAAAAGGCGCATTCTGTGTTTTAGAAAGCTACACAATCATCGACAATTCCTAATTCATGAGCATGTGCAGCAAAGTAGCCAAACACAATGCATGTTAGTTGGCTGAAAGACATCAGAACTGCTCGGTTTTCATGTTATTACAGCCTTTGATGTGCATCTCTGAAAAGGACTGACTTAGGAAGACAGCCATTAAGTTCATAATTTGCCGTTTCCTTATGGTTGTTGAATAAAATAGGCATTAACTCCTGCCATTTTAATGTGTTCTGGTTAGAGAATAGACAGTTGTGACGATAATGAGATCTGTGAACCTGCAGAGCAGAACGAACTCTTTGTCTTCCCAACCCATGGAGGCAATCACAGCTAACAACCAAGGTGACAACACCCCCATCTTGCAGCTTCTCATCCCCACAGGGAAAAAACAATCCTCCCCAAATATCATCTTTTTGGAGAAGTCATTAAACTGACAAATCCACAAAAGCTGGCTCAAAAGAAATCAAGACACAAGATAATTGACAAATTGTTATCCATGAAAATTTAAGTATCTATCTCAGGGAAATCATCAAAACCCTGGCACAGTGTTCCTTCTTACTTCAGTTAGAATTCTAATATAGTTCCTATCTGGCCTCCATGCCTCAGCAAGTGAAAAGAAAGAAAAAGAAAAAAGGACAAATTAAATAGGGTACATTATCAATGGAAATAGTAAGTACAAAATAGCAGCGATCCAGGGGAGAAAAATCTACAAAATGTCAAGTAGAACTAGAAAATAAAAGCCAAGTTTAACATTATGGAAAAGCTACCAAAAAAAATCAACTATAAGAGAATCATAAAGAAATTGCAGTGTAAAAATTGACATCCTTACTTATCATCCAAACCTAATAAGATTATACTGATTCAAAACTGTATTTGGTAATAAAATATCTAATAAATCTTAGTGGATGTATTTCTACTAAACTCATTTGAAAAGCATTAATGTTTTTTTTTTCAAAAAGGTGAAGTTTTGTTAGAATAAGTCACTCCCATAGACGAAAGAAGGGAACACAATAACTTTAATGATTTAAGTTAAAATGGAAACTTGATTCAGTGATAGGAAAATGAAAATAATTACAAGTAAATCTATACGGAAAAGTACAAGCTTCAAGAGCTAAACATCAATCAACTGCTGTCAAAATAAATATTTAAGAAACCAAAAATAAAACTGCTTAATAGTGAGACTGAAAAAATATGTAAGAAAAGGGAAAACAGGAAAATAAATGAAGGAATGCATGCAGCAAGCCCCAGTGGTGATTTACACACAGCGATTCAGAGAACAGACTGAACCTGTCGAAGAATGTGACCAATGAGGCAATTGGAAAGTGACTAAAAGTCAGCTATGAATCAAAAATGACAACCCAAATCCCAGAGAGCCTTAAATTATTTAATCCAGACATTATCTAAACCTTCAGATCTATCTGGTGCCACAGAGTTCATCATTCTCTATTAGAATGAAATGTGGGACAAACACATTACTGGTTGGTAGAAAACGTTTCCGAGCAAATTCACCTTTGAAGGTCAGGGTCAGCCGTATATTATTGTGGTCATATTTCTTATGTGAAATAGCAACATGTCAAAGGAGGAATTAAACAAAAATTTATCCTGAAATAATCGGCTGACCCTCAAACTCTCAAATCCCATGGATGATAAGGAGAACGGAAGGAAGCGAGTCACCCGCAGACTCTTCCACACGCAGCTCCAGGGGTGAAGGAACCACTTCCTGCGGGATCACGAGGAGCCCAGCAGGCAGACCTCGGTGTTTTCCTTCTACTCTTTAGAACTGCAATACACACTCCATTTCTAAAATGACTTACGGAAGAATTTGACTCCCTGAAAAGAAACTGAACATGATTGACTTTTCTCTGCTGAGTCATGGAAGCAAACAGCATGCAAGTCCCAGGAGCCGTAGGACCCCCCACACAGTGGCAGGAGGGGTCCCATCCACCGGGCTGGGGCATACAATGGGACCCTCCCTTGCCCGCGCTGCGCCAGTGAAGGCCTTGTGCGTGGTATGAACAAAAAGCGAAATCAAATAAGCACCAACTTCTGCCTCTATCGCAACTGAAAAGTATTTTTTTTTTAAATCTTTAAGGAAGAAATCTAGGCCTTGAGAAATGTTATCATTTTAGGGATATGCAGCAACATGTATGGAAGAACTGCTTCTTGATCTTATCCGTCTGGTTGATAATTTGCTATCCTGGTGAAATCGCGTAAGAAATACTGATATGACAACATCTTAGAGAAAGTGCTCTGAGCATCTAGATATGTATAGTAGATAAAGCAAGTTGGTAGTTAGCGCATGGAGGTGAATAAAAATATGCAACCTGAGCAAAAGGATCATCATTTTTATCATAAAAAAAAACAGTAAAGGTAAAATTTAAATCATGATTGCCTGATGAAATGATTAAAAAAGGGGATAAAGATTTAGAAATGGGCATTCAAATAAACAGGAAGAAACAAAATAATCACAGTAAGACAACTTTGGATAGAAGAGTTTTACACCTATAGCAGCACATTGAAACCAAAACTCTATTTTCATTATAATACAGTCAGAACAAATACGACAATATTCTTTGTATGCTAACAAATGACGTATCTGAATGGCCAGAATGGAATTTTTTTTTATCAGAGAACATTAAAGAGTTAAAATAATGACACTACTTATATGTTTAACTAACAGTTCTGATAACTCCTTATTGATTCTTGATAGCTGATTATTTGACTAGAAAGACATGATAAATCAAAACCATACGCCAGTTTTAAACAAAAAGAACATCTTCAAATTAATTCCAGCTGCTCAATGGTACACACAGAATGAATTCCTAGCCTGGCAGGAGTCTTATTTTTTTAATTCAAGGGGGGGAAAAAGATATGAGGGAGTCTGCCTATTTTACAGAGATGCGAGTGACCCGAATTCCATGGAGCGGCTGGGTTTCTCGTGCTGGCTACCTTCCCTCGGAACTGTTCATCTGGCCGCGTGCTCAGCTGCCAAGAGGGAGCAAGTCAAAGGACATCACACAATCTATCAGCCAGCTGGAGGAAGCCATCCAGACTTTGCCCCGCCGAACCTTCTCTGGGCGATGAATAGACAAGTCCTCGTAGATGATATACTGGGTGCAGAAGCGCTGATCAGAATCGGGCTTGGCGTGGTAAGCAACTGTGTTGATGGTCTGAGTCACGTCGCTGTCTGGCTTGGGTTTCCGGAGGAGAATTTGGCCCCCTGCCGCGGTGGCGAGCTTCATCAGATTGTCCTTCGGATGGTGCTTGTAGGTTCCCCCAAAATAGAAGTAGCATCCATCAAACAGGTTCGGCAACTGAAATTACAGGGGCGGGGGGGGGGGGGGGGGGGAAGCTGTTTAAGAGCAGACCCAGTTTTTTAATTTTTACAAACACTGTCTATCAAAGAGAGAAAAAACGTTATAAGCAGCTAAGAATCTACTTAATGACATTCAGAGAGACAAGCTGTATTTGAAGCAGATGAAAAATACTGATGCAAAGCAACTTTTCCTACTTTAGACCCCTTCTTCCCCCAAGATTTGGTCACTACCCTGGTTATCTTTCATTCCCAGACATTGGCTGTGTTTTTGTATGTACAGCAGCCAAGCAAACAAAAAGTGCTAACCGTTACGTTTTTTTATTAGAATGTCCATTCTTCTCTAGTGGAACTTAAAGCCCCAAGAATGACTAAAGTGTCTGAAATATGCTATATGTTCGGGATACTAGATTAAGATTAATTAAATCGTGAGAGTATCACATCTTGTCCACAAACCCTGATGTGATTCTGCCATCCGTATTCAGGTCCAGGCTAGTCACTGTGAGAGTGTGGCACCAACGGTATCTGAGGTATAGTCTCTGGGGTACAACACATTATGAAGTCATGTCTAGGATGTTAACTTACGACATCAAACACACCTCAATGTGTGTTGTGGACAAAAAAAAAAAAACTGCATACTTCTCTTCTAGGACAATTTTTCTTCGTCATTCCAAATACACTTATCTATCAACAGATAATGGAATATTATCCATTAACACGGCAATATAGGGCAATAAAGACGTGTGGTAACTAAATTTGAGCAGCAGCTGTTAAGCCTTCTTTCAAGCTACTTCCTGTATCTGAGACTTACCTCAGATTCTAAAAGGTTTATGGGCATGTTCAAGATGCCCAAAAGCCATTAACCGCAGGAAATTATTGCCTTCTGGATTTTACTGCTCATCAAGATCACCTCTCAGAATCAAGCACTTGAAATAAGCACAATTAAACTTTTAGTCTGTCACCTGTACTTGTGGAAAGGGCAGAAGAAGGTTTTCCTGATGGTGATAATCATATTAAGTTTTAATGAGAACAACAATAGTATCAAAAGGAAAATACCAGCTGTTCCCTGTTGAGTCTGCTTCTCTGAGGTCCTTCAGGAATTTCATACTTTTCTTCCTGTTCCCATTCTTTACTTTGTAGACATGCTTTTACCCCTGACAAAAGCAAAATAAATATTGAGTGAGCACTGTTTCACTCTTGTTGAATTAAGTAACTGACGGACGTGAATTCTTCAAGGTTGTATTAGTTTTCTGTGATAGAAACCTGAGTTATGCCAAAACAAGATGCAGTATAGCTGGTTTAAAGAAATACATCCTTCAAAGTATCACTGAACAACCAATTTATCTCCGAACAAATCTAGAACACTTTCACATACAAGATAAAAGAGAAGAGAGACAGATGTACTGTGGGTCTCTGTGTGCATGTGTGTGTATCATATGGACCACTGCCCGTGTGCTGAGACCAGTGATGAGTGCTTGAAGAATCAAATGACCAAAACCCATTAGGATTAAGTCAATGGAGCCTGCAGGGTCCAAGTGGTGCCAGGGATCAAACCTAGGGCCTCAAACAGATTAAACATGTGCTACATTCCTGGACTAAGAAATAGTTTGGGGGTGAAGAGCAATACCCAGTGGTACTCAGGGCTTATTCTTGGCTCTGCATTCAGGGATTACTCCCCAGGAATTAATTTTTGTAACAACAAAATGAAATATTAAAATCACAGACATTACTATCTAGTTAAAGGTATGTGTATCTGGGGGGTGAGGAGGGGAGGGAATTATGTATTTTAAAATTTGTAGTTATTTTTTTTTCTAGTTTTAAATGACCAAAAGTACAGTAACTTCTCCAACAGTCCTAACAAAAAACTGTAATTAGAGCTACTATTAACATTAAAAGCCTTTGTAAGACTTCTCCAATTCAGAAAGATGGGCATAGTTATTCTCACCATTTGCAGTACGTGTCTTCTACAAAGATGCTGAAGAATAAATTAGTAAATACTGAAATTTTTTATTCAACCTTTGTGAAATTTGAGCAGCAGCTGTTAAGCCTTCTTTCAAGCTAAAATTTCCTGATGATACCTGCAGTACATTCCAAACAATATCTTTCCCTGAACGGAGGTGCCAGTATAGAAAGCCAAGAACTGAACAGTGGGGGGGCGGGCGGGGGGGGGGGGGGGCGAGTTCAAAGAGGTGGGATACAGGCTCTGGAAAGGCAAGGGCCTGGCACCAGTGACCTCCCCCACACTGCTATCACTGGAGGACATAGCCCTGGAGGTCCCCAAGAGGCACAGATATGGCCATTGTGACTCCCACAGGCACCACTGGGCCTCGGCAGCTTCCCAGCACCAGGCTCAAACACTGAACTCCTAAGGATCACTGAAAGCATGCCCCCCCACCACCACCACCCCAATGCCTGGGAACTTCCTCCACCATTCAAAAACATAACCGAACACTGAATTAGGCCCTGTTATCCGCTCAATGAGTAAATGGCTCAAACTTAACTACAGAAACAGACTATGTACAGGCCACTTCTGTATTTTATAGATTTAGCTGGTGATTTTAAATATTAAAAAAAAAAAATTAAAATGGCACCTATAAATAATGACAATAAGTGTCAGCAGAACGCAGCCTTAGCAGATCCTGGAACAAGGCTAGTGTGCATCCAGAAAATGGCACTGTGGGTGCCAAGCCGACCACACGGCACCTCCACAGGAAGAGGCCAGTGGTTGTCTGATGCCAAATACTTTCACTGTGAAAATATAACCTGTCACAGAACTTCCATCCTCATAGCAGTCGTTCAATACATTTCTGCAGAGAAGGGTGGATAAATGCATCATTCTAATTACAACCACTGAGCTGAATGAAAAATTCCTCCGTCTCATAGGGACTTTTTCCCACTAACAATCTGTCAACAACCCACATCACCTACTATAGTCAAAGGATGAAAATACTCCTTTCTCTTCTCTGAGAATTAAGAAAATTTCCAGTTTTATAATATGTTGGGATGATGGCAAAGTGTTGCTAAAGCATCAGTCACAACAGAACAAGTGAACAAACAAAACTCAGAAATTATGGAAAGTGACTTCTGGACTAAAGGCTGCAACTCAAACACAAACAAGGCGAGATGGATTACATGCAGGTATGTGGCATCTCATGTGGTGGGAAGTTCTGTAGACTATAACCAGTAAGAAAATGTGCGTCATATCAAAGATATAAACATTAAAGAGTTATGCTGGACCAAGCCAACCAATTCGTATCTGCTTTGATTGCTAACTGGAAACGTCTGATGAATCTCTTCTCTCACAGAGAAGAAAACTTTAATTCGAAGAGATTTCAAATGCTTTCCCAGTGACACAACTGAGCTGAGAATCCAGATATCCTCCAACTCCAACTCGATGAAAACTTTATAGTTCATTTTATTTAAAAAATAAAGCATCTAAATAAATACCATGCATGCTAAGATTTCATGCATTGTACCAGAAATCATATAAAACTTAAAGAGGTGGTTAAAAAGGAGAGAAATTAAGAAATTTCAGGCATTCGCCAGAAAATATGCCAACAGTATAAACTTGACTGCGCTGAAGAGAAACTATAAAGAACAAAACACTCTGTATTCCGTGGATCAATGAGTCTGACTGATGCCATAGTGCTCACGCTCTAATTTGTATTCTGTGAGCTTCAAAATGAAGACATACTTCATTTTCCATAGACATTTGCAAAATTACAAATTCATATCAACTTCCTACTGTACCTTGAGATAAACCAGTTGGACTGATTTACAAAACAAAAGTGAAATACTACAAACTTTCATCAAGGGAAATATAATTAGCACCATCATTAATGAAAGGGAAGGAGTTACCAGCTAAAATATTATCTACTAAATTAATATTTTTTAAAACCTATTTTCAGGTTTCCTTTACTCAACAAAAATCAACCAAACTGCATTAAGAAGTTTCTGATGCACTTTCCATTTAAACAAATTACCATCCTTAGTCAAACTCATTTTTAAAAAAAGATCTTCTCGCTGGCCACATATCGTGACTTGCACAGCCATGAACTCATCACACCCAACACAGGTCACATTCATACTACCTGTCTCTGGGTGAAGGCAGGTCAAGAAAAGAAAGAGCAACACTCAATTCTAATTCCTCAGAGACTGCCAGAGGATTAACTGCAAGAATCCCCCCTCAGTATGGCAGGAACACAGCAAATACAAGGGGGAAGATAGATAGAAGCCCACCAGTCTCACTGAGTGGACAGCAGAATCTGGAAGGTTCTATTAGTGCCAACCAGCTCTATAAAACTCTGAGAGAGACTCAGAAGTATAGTGACACCATATTGAAGATGCTCAATGAGCTCAAAGAAACAATGACACAGGAAGCCGACTAGCAGCAAAGCACAAGAAAGTATGAGAGCCAAAGTGAGAAAACTACACTCAGAAGTGACAGAAATGAAGAGTATGGTCACAGTCCTACCGTTGTTCATCAATTTGCTCAAGTGGGCCCAGTAACGTCTCCATCATGAGACTTGTTGTTACTGTGTTTGGCATATCAAATACGTCACGGGTAGCTTGCCAGGCTCTGCCATGTGGGCGAGATACTCTTGGTAGCTTGCCAGGCTCTCCGAGAGGGGTGGAGGAATCGAACTCGGGTCGGCCATGTTGGCTACTTGTAAGGCAAACACCCTACCGCTGTGCTATTGTTCCAGCCAAAGAAGAGTATGGTGTTTATATGTATATGTGTGTATGTGTGTGTGTATATATATATATATATAGTGTGTGTATGTATGTGCATATGTATATACATATATGTAGAAAGAGAGAGAGAGAGAGAGAGAGAGAGAGAGAGAGAGAGAGAGAGAGAGAGAGAGATGAGTAGCACAATAACAATAGCTGAGGAAAAGGCTGAGAAGCCCCATGATGAAATGTGGGAAATCTTTTCAGGACAAGTCCGAAAATAACTGAAGAGCACATCAGAGAACCATGGGATGAGGTCAAGATGAACAACACAAGAATCATCTAGAGAATCTCAGGAATAGGAAGGCAAATTCGATGAAGAACCACAGGTTACAGAAATCCTAGCTAAGAATTTCACAAAGTTACTGCGGATCTCATGCACAGAGTCCAAGAGGCCAGAAGGGTCCTGGGGAAAAATACGCCCAGATAGAAAGGTGCATGGTGACCAGAATGACAAAAGACAAGAGACAGAATGCTGAAAGCAGCAAGACCAAACTAGGAATTTATATACAAAAGAAAGTCCCTGACAGAGTCATCAAATTAGAATCCATGAGCCAGAAGATAATAATGGGATATTGGAGGGGGAAAAAAAAAAACAACTATGAAATGAATACCTCCCCAAGCATACCTCTCCAGCTAGATGATCATTCAGATTTGAAGGAATGATACAGAGTTTCACGGACAGGCAAAAGCTTAGGGAATTCCACAGCCTTGAAACTAGTTTTGCAAGAAATATTAAAGGAGTTTCTTTAAAAAGCAAGACAAACTTCCCAGCAACATGCCACTGAGTGTGGCATTCACTCACTGTGCTTGGGGTTGCCCATTATAAGATTAAGGAGGGTTTTTTTTTTTTTTATCTCTAGCTTGCTAAGGGATTTTATACTTTTCAACAGCTAATTAATGATTCATTTATACTGAACGCTTTGTCTATTCAGGTGAGTATGCTGCATCTTTATAGAGATTTTTATTACAATCCTTTACTTATTAATGCAGACACTTAAGTATTACCTCTAATGTAATATTTTCTAACATAAAGCCTAAAGTCCCTTTGTAGGATAAAACACTTTTATATTTTTATAGGCCTATTCAGATTTTCCTTTACAATTTTCTTAGTTCTCTCCTTTTCACACTTACTAGATTGTGTATCTGTAGGATTTACCTATTTCGTGTTAATTTTTAAATGTATTAACAAATTATTCACCTAACTTTTGAAGTGAATATATACCTACAAAGAGAAAGATACAGTTCTTGAACAAAATCTTTATCCTCAATTATGAGTAATTTATGACTTTGCGGACTTTCATCAGGAAGTTTAGCTCAATCATCTAAATATGTATAGGTATCACCACCTTCACAATGAATTTTTAAAAAAAATATCCCTCTCCTATGTGGGATATGTAGAGAAACATAGTAAATGAAC